TTACACCTTAGTTATTACACTTTGTTTCACGGGTTTTTGAAAACCACTCTGTTATTAACTTATTTTCAGTTTTATGTTGTCTTCATAATATATCTCTGATATTACAGGTATGTCTGATTGACTTTGATTGACATGTGTCAGTAAAAAAACTTCCTTRGCAACTGAAAGAACTGCATGGCAAAAAGCCAATACATTTCAAAACAGGAAGAATAAACATTTTTAGAACTGTTAAATGTTCGACTGTCCTACAAAATACATGTCGGATTATGCTTTCAAAAATAAGCCATACAAGCCATTTGTGTAACGGCGTTGCTTTATATTTACACTAGTACTTTTACCTCCTTTTTTAATTGAAAACTCCAATCATGTGAAAAAAAGAAAAAGAAAGGGAATTGAAAAGGAAAAGGACAAAATAAAAATAAAATAAAATAAAGACAAAAAAGATTGTTTTATTAGTGTTGGTGTAATAGAGAATTCGAATGGAAAAACAAAAAAGGAAAAATAGTGGGTTCCTATCATCATCGGATGGATTTTGAAACTGAGACACAATGGTTGCCAATATCCGCTGCTGCGCTGCGACCAATTCCTATCGTTACAGAATTTAAACCGTAACAACATCAATACATCAAGTCATGTTACTGGAGCCGACGTTATGTCCTTGCTACCAAGAAAACTGATAATGAAAACTGCTCATTCAACCAGGAAATCAAAAAAAATCTAGCAAACAAGGAAGTGAAACGATGTATTAATCATGTGCTAATAGTTGTCATATTGATGAAGATTGGTTCATGATGATGATGATATCAATGAACAGGATGATAATGTTTTTTTGTTATTACTCGAAATTCAATGTTTTTACAATAGGATGCGGTAATGAGGAGGATGCAGTGATATTCTCTTGATAGACGACGACTCAATTACCATCATGGTGTTTTATATGCATCAAATATCTAATCAAGATTGAGATTCAAACAAAATAAAAGAAAGAACTTCCTGCTCGAAATCTAATAGTTTTATTCATATTTTCAAATCGTCGAAATCCCTGAATATTGTGGCTAGCGCAGAGTCTAGTACGAATGGTAATTTTCTTTTTATACTCGATTGTTGTTATCTTCGCCYCAGGTGTCAGGTAGTGAAGATTAGCCATTTAGTCCATATGAACGCTGGCCGGCCTAATTGAGCCATTGTCACATCCCGGCAGCAAAATCATGATGGCGGTGGGATATGGCCGCAAGCAGGATATTCATCTAGGATGGATTTCAGTTTTATTTGTAAAAGTACCGTATCACAACGACCCGGTACTTAGCCAAGTTAGTTTGCGGGGGAGTGTTACAGCCTTAAATTCCATTATTATGATTCAAGAATATTTTATTGAGGGCGGGAAGATATTAGCTTACACACTCCTAAAACGCTGTTATCTTAAACGTTACTGATAAGTTCACTATCAAGATCAGTCCATTTGGGAAAAAGATCTTGCGTGACTTTTTCAACGTTGTGTGACAGCTCATTTGAAAAACCGGAAACGAAGCTGCTACTTTCAAAATTTCAGCTTTGATTTAATCAAAAGTAAAAAATAATTTCCTTCAGTTCTCTGTCAAGAAAAAAAGAATTACTCGTATAGAGATTTTTTAAACATTTCTTAATATATCTGTTCTCCGGCTGTTTCCAAAATTCGTAGAAGCCTCACTTTGGATATGTTCTCATTTCCGGTATCATTTTTGTTGTCATCGTTGGGACGCCGCAAAGTAATACATAAATAAGAGAACTTGTCCACCTACATGTTATTACAATGGTTGCAAGATAACTCGTACAGAACGGGATATTCATAAATGGTATATAATGAGACTTTTGCCTCATGGGAAAAGATATGAAATATTCTTGAAGGTTTTGTTTGTTTGCAAGGTAATTTCATTCATTCATTTGCATGACGTTCGAGGCTTTGTTGGAGCATGGGGCTCGCAGAGAGCACCAGGGTTAGAGTTACTCTTTCCTATAAAATATATTTTACCTTCTACATAGGGTCCTACAGACCCATTTGCAGTGCAGTACCTTTCTTGGAAGTTTCAGTAAGATSTTTTGAGCAATATTTGGTTCAGTTCGCCGGCTGGTATTTTCTATGATTTTCTGCAAACTTTTTGAACTTTTTCATTCATTTCAGATTCTTGGCTTTCGGTAAACGTGTTACCACGTGTTGAGGTTTCAAGCAAAAATCTTTAGGATTTCACAGGTACTGCCTTCTTAGCCAGAGGCCTAATAGAATGGAAAATAGAGGCCCTGTGCAGCAGACAGAGAACGAAAGACGATGCCAAATCGAAGGATGCAATGATGTTACTGTAGGAGCACGAACCTCGTTGTGCCGAAAACACCGAAACAATAAATACAAACAGAACTACAAGAAGAAAAAACGCAAAGCACAGGGGACAGAGGTAAGAAATGTTTCTATTTCAAGTAAATATTCTATTATTTCTCTACTTGTTGACGGAATCTGAACGATAGTGAAGCAGAATTATCCAAAGAATAAATAGGCTTGAAACTGGTCTTGGTTGATGGCGATCGAGTCACATGTTGATCCTTCATTACCATTGTGCTCATTGTCCTTCGCGAAGCACTTTAATTCCTTAGGATTCTAGTGATAGTCAGTGAATAAAAGACTTGTTTTTGAACTGATATCCCTATGGTTTGGCTAGTTTAGAGYGTGAATGCCTACTGAAATCTTGGATTACATTCGAAATCACGATCCTTTTACAAATGCTGAAAGAATACACTTGAATCGGAACTTCAGATCGCTCTCGCTAAGCGCCTATCAAAACATCAATTCTACTCTTAGTCCTTTATTTCTTTTTTAAATTAAACCCATGTGATAACATTTAAAGAGATATTTCTTGTTTATGTCTGGGAGGGCTTTTCTTGCGGTAGGAAGACTGATTGCATATTTTCGCAACCAATTTAATGGATTCTTGATTCATTGAAATCCTTTATTCCCTCGTGTATTTGCTGATCTGTGGTTCTATATGAAAACAATTTATTCTTGTGTCAATAAAAGTTGCTAAAGTTCTTCCTGCTTGATAATGAGAATATTTGGTAATCGTTCGTAAAATATGTTGTAACAGTCAAGAATATCGAATGTTTACTACTAGAGTGGGGTCAAAAAGCGGTTGTACCTCACTCGTTTTGGGAGTGGTCTGCATGGGTACCCCTCCGTAACAAATTGAAAATTATCGAATGCTTTTGTTGTTTCATGAAAAATAAATTATATCTAGATTTAATTCAATTAATATATACCTGCTTTTGTTTTTGTTATGTTTAAACTTGCAAATAAGCCTGAAAAATATGCATCAAGTTGATAAAATGTGGTATAAACACAGTTTACAGAATATGACATTTTACCTCTATAAAGCTAAAGCCTTAAGTGTCAGAGATAAGCTGGTTATTTTATAGTTTATGATTTTTATATGAAATGGTTAAGCAGTGGAAAAGTGCAACTAATATTCTCTAAATCAAATTAATGATTTTTTTAAAAATACAAAAAAAGGGCTCAAACTTCATCCACTTGAAGCAGTAAAAATTTTGAATTGGTGAATGTGGCAAGCCTGAAAAAGACTGTCGAGGTACAGGAGAATCAAAAACGGGTTTTGCTTGTTGAATTTAGTCCTGGTTAYATTGATAAGAGAGTTTTTGCCTTTAAAGTGCTTCCCTGGGGGCAAAATATGATTAGTCACATTCACTGTTCACATGTTGATCAGGCAATGTGGCTGGACATCATGTCTCCCCATTGAGCAGCTGTATTTTCTGGATTTGTCCATCACTCTTTTCTTGCAATTTGGCCGATTAGTTTCTGTTACCTCTAATATTATAAACATGAACATATTTAGTTTACAAGTTGTACTTCTGATTGCTAAATATCATGGTGAGCTGGTTGTGATTTCGAATACTGCAGTTAAGCAACACATAAATGGGAAAAAAACTCATAAAATAATTCTAGCTTTGTTGCTTTATTCAATTTGATAAAATGTACCACTATATATTAATATTTTTTCCATATTAGGTAGTTAAATCAAGAAATATCGCTATAACATACACTTGTACAGAATATTATGCAAAACAAAGTAGTGAATGAACATTTGAGTGTAAAAAGGCTAGTGAACTATTAACGTCTTTCACCACTGTGAGTTTCATATGTAGATTGAGTTTGTTGTGTAATTGTTCTCTCCTATATATGCTACAAGGGTTTTTTCCTGGCTCTCCTGTTTTCTCCCTTCRTAGACATGCGAGTTGAGCATTGTATGCATAGAATTTTGAATATGGTGCGGTAGTGTGTGTGAGTGGAAAGTGTCCCGAATTAGTGCGATTAGATGACTAGACACCTAAATAAAGAGATTTATTTTTACCACTAAGTAATCAATTTGATGTTTTAATTTTTAGGAAAATCAAGGAGAATCATTGGAAAGCCAGCTTGCTGTTGAAAAGTATCACCTTGAGCAGAAATATGCCAGCATGCTTCAACAAGTGCTTGTACAGAAAAGACTGGTAAATTGCAATATACAATATATTTGAATAAAATATGTTATTTAGGACTAAAGGTTGGGATAGATAATGCATGGCTTATGGTACGTACAATGAATGGCAGAAAAAGACCTAGTATAGGTAGTATACATGTATTATAAAACTGATATTTCTATGAGTGATAGAAATCCAATGAATTAATGAGCATCTTAATTAGTGATAATGATAAGCTATGTTATAGAAGCATACATTACCTGCCAATAGAAAAAGTGCTGTGCATTTGATATAAAATACAACTCTAATAATTTATAGGTTCTCCAATTAGGAAACATTTATGRTTTATGATTTGATGTGTGCGTATATGTAGGGGAGGGGAGGGGAGGCCCTGTGTATTGATTCAAAGTTAAAATATTTTATTTTTAGTAGTCCCACTTAGCAAAAACATTTTTGTTTGTTTTGAGTTTAGCCTCTCCAAAGGAAATGCAATGCATTTAATATATACAACAGTCGCCTTTGACTGAGTGTTTAGTAACCCTGCATGCACATAGTCCTCAGCCTTAAATTATAAAATTATGCTCTCTTAGTTTTATACACTTGATGTGTCTCTTAATGGCATGAAATGGAATTTTCCTTCCCACAATAATATAGGGTTACAAAGAATGAATTAAGTTACCATTTACAATTAAGGGGTGGGTAAAGGAGATCTAATTTTATTTCAATTTCATTCATTTTAGGGGGGACCCTGAATTACAAATGTTGGTTATTGGGGAGGRGGGCTTGAGGTCTTTTTTGCACTAGCTATTTGCCTAAAAGATTTTGCATTAAAAGATTAATGGATTATTGCATGTGCTATAAAAGAGTAGGAAAGAGTATGTTCAAAATTGCAGGTTTTCAGTCATTCCCAAAAGAGTGAACTAACAAAAGACACTGCAACCATGCTGATTGATATAAAAAATGTATTCATTGACAATTATTTTGTTAAATTCAACCAAGATAGCAGCTGTGACCTCACATGCAAACAAAGAATAGTAAACYGAAGAATGAAATTGAATGTACATTATATATATGTATTATTTTGGATCCAGGAGGGCTTTAAGTTTCCAGTGGGGTGGGGTGGGGAGGTCAGTGGCTGTTACCTAGAATATTTTACCTTATTTTTCTATAGTTTTTTTAGACTCAGAGATGGGTTGATTAGTCCTCATAACCCTCCTTAATTACACTTGTTTCCCTGTTCATGTATGGTATTACTACTTTTAAAGCTAAATGTGCATTAGTAGGYTAAACCCCATCCTCCAGCCATCCCATCTCTATGGTCCCTTAAGAGATAATCAATCCGCTATAAAGGAAATTATTTTCGCTGATAACAAATGTGATATGAAACAAAAATGAAATCATAAAGTTATAGATTATRGATTTTGAGAAATATGTATTTACTTATAGAAAATGTATGGATCAAGTTATCTACTCAGGCAGTGAAATATTAGTAATTTTTGTTCTATTATGCAAGAAGAGTTTTTTTTCATGGCATGGTATATTTTAGGATTAGACCCACCCCATGAGCTAAAGGTCAATCACCCCAGGAGTTGCAGCCAAGTAGGCTATTTAACGCATGGCTGATTGTTTTCTAGTATAAACAAACAAGTTGGACAGTATATTAGAAACTGCTATGTGCCTTTAATTGAATTTATTTTTTCGTTATACAAAAGCCCTGTCTTCTAGTAGCAATTTGTCATCCTCTAGTTTGTTTATACTAAATCACATGAGGCCATTCAAAATATAGCCTATTCTTTGTTCTTCAGTTTTTCAGTGTAATGAAATAATTAAGTCTGTTTTAATCAACAAGTTAAAAATAGTAAYAGTTAACACTGATGGAAAACTGACAGCCACCATATAGGGTATTGCATTATAATTGTTTAAACACAAGAAAAGGTTTGAGGGCACACACATCCACATCTGGTAGAAGCAGACATTGGTCAAATATTGTTCTTTAAAACAAAGATGTTTATTTATTAAACCGTAAGGTCACACATTTATTTATTTATATATATCTTTTATTCTGAATCCTGACCGAGTTTTCGTAATGTTGCGGTTTTTTGCGTGACGTCTGCAAAAGATGAGCAAATTGCTAATGACAGTAGTATTTTTGCAGCACACGCGGAACTTCAAACGTTAATTATTTTTGTTTGGTTTTCATTTTCAAGGAACTTCTGCAATCCCCAAGTATTTGCAACCTCCTAAGAATTCATCAGCAAAATGTTCGGGAAAATAAGCAAAAAGAACTCCTGGAAAGACGCAAAGCAGCCCAAAACGAGCGCAACTCAAAAATGCAACAAGAAAAGCAGTCTAAGTCACTTTCGGCTCCTAATTCCTCCACATCTTGTTCTAGCACTACCTGTAACTCTGGTACAACCACCAAATGTGAGTATGATATTTCACGAAACGATGTTTTATGTCAAGGATTGGATATAGCGTGGGCTGTGGTCGATTGATATCTTGGCTTCTCTTTTTACAGCACCCAATGGATCTTCCAAGTCTGCCAGCTCAAGTAAAACACTTGTGAAGTCCTCAAAACAATCTTCGCGTCCACCGCAAGGAAGGACCTCGAGCAAAAACTCTAAAAACCGTAATAATAGTAACTCGAGTGTAGAATCTACAGTTAATGGATTGATGCCTCATTCTAAGATCACTTCAAATGRCAGTGAATCGGTTGGACACCCTATGTATGCATCGTCAGGGATTTGGGATATTACCRAAGAAAAGGCTGAATTTTCTAACTTAAGGCAAGTTCAAAATTTTCAACAGCAGCAGATAACGCCACAACAAATGCTACTTAACCCAACGCAACAAGCTTTGCACCCACAGAAACAAGAGCAACAGCAAAATGCATCACATAACATGCCAGTACAATTGTTACAACACTATCAACAGCATAACATGCCCAAAGAGCAATTCCAGTACTTACAGCATCAAAAACTACTAGAGCAAGTACACCAAAAGCAATTACATGAGAAAAAACAACAACAGCTCCAGCAACAACACCTTCAGCAACAGCAACGACTGCAAGAGCAACAACTTGTGCAGCAGCAGCAGCAGCAGCAGCAACAACAGCTTTCGCAACAACGGCGGTTACAACAACAACGACAACAGGAACTGCATATTCAGCTCCAAAGCAGCCGCCAACAACAACTGCAGCAGCAGCAGCAGCAGCAACGACAACATTTACAAGGYAGTGGCCACCAAAATCAGCAACATGTGCAGTTTCATCAACAGCAAGAACAACCGCAGCAGCAACAACATCAGTCTTGCACTTCTTCTGTATCCTCATCTGTAAAGAATATCTCAGGCACTGAATTATCATTACAATCTTTACCTTCTATACAGTCAAGTATGTCAAGTCTTCTTGTTTCGCAGTCCCATATAAACACTAGCAGGCATGATTGCATCAGTACATCTGGTATTTTGACAACCAGACATTCGGTTTKGCCGCGGACTGTACTAACTAACACTCAAGGAAACACTCAAAGTTGTATCCCAATAAATCACATGGTTTCTAATACTTCTTCTTCGACGTCTCACCGCCCCATTGCCCCACGCCTTGAAGGACATCCCAGTATTAATAATGCGCTTTGTAACGGTGGAATGCCTATTATAACTGCTATTATATCGGCACCACTTACTCAACAAATTGTGCCGCAAAGCGCACCCAATGTCGAACGAAATTCATTGCATGTGGTAACAGAAGCTAATGCACTTAATCCAATGAACAGTTCTGGGAATGCATTAAGTAATCATTATCCTTTGATGCCATTTAACATACCAATGGACATGAACTTGTTACAAGGTTTTGGAGCACAGTTTTCTGAGCAAAATGTACAATGTGCTACGACTCAGGTGAGAGGGCGTCAAATGTTATTAGATTGACGAGTCGACGTAGGACGCCTCGTGGTCGGATCAGTGAACCAAGGATCCSAAATATAACTTTCAAGTGTGAATATCAGAACTGTACACATTTTTATTTTTATTCTAAGTTATTGGATTTTAGTTATAGTATAATGCAATGTTGGAAGAAGCTCTTTGTAGGAGAGCAAGAAGTGAATTATCCAAGTAAAAAAGAAAGACAAATGTTAGTCCTTTGTGATTGATATCACCTATATGTAACTACTATTCGCCAAAGGCAAAGTGATTACTTAGTGTCTCACTGAATATTTACCGAGACACTACGGTCTTTGAACGGCGAGGTAAATATTGGCCAATAATCACTGAGTCTGATCGAGGCGAATAATTGTTGTAGTATCATTACACAGGTGATTATTTGAAAATCATAGACAACAGCGGTTTATTTCCAAAGGCCCCCCACCCCTTCCCCCCTCCCCTCCCCATTTGGGCCGCCGCTATGCAGGCTAACTGAAAATTGGCGCTAAAGGCGCGYAAGTAATTATCGACAATTAGTATAACTTAGACTTGATAACAGAGTTTCTCGAGAAAAGATTGGTCGAGCGACCGGTGATTCTGAGACAATAATCACAGCTGGAGAGGTGATTATGAGGTGCTCCAAAGTTTTCCAGATCGGAATTAATACTAAAACATTATTTAAATCCTGAATTTCGACTTTTCTCTGATGTTCAAGTCTAAAATTATAATAAAACAATTGTTCCCCTCAGGCTCGGTGAATATGGTGAATATTTACCTCGCCGCTTGGTAAATATTCCACCGATAATCACTTCGCCTTCGGCGAATAATTGTTAATAGCTCAAAGTTCTCCCAATCAGCGAGCGCGATTTTCCATAATCATCTGAGTAATTCTACTAAATAGCATGATGCATTGTTTACATTCGTTCTCAATAACACGCTTAATTTTGGTGAACGTCATTCAAATTCAGACTTCCATAAAATYGTAGAGAAACAGTCTCTTTTTAAGGGCAAGTGCTTGTGGAATGTCATGGAAACGCCTKGATTGACTTCTATGAAAACCCACTTTGTCCCGACGGCCAATTGTACATTTCCGCTCGCGTTTCAAGACTACATTAATTATGCCTGGCAGTGTATGCCTACCTTAAGATGGCTCGACTGGGTTTTGTTTGTGGCGTACCTTCAAAGTTTGAAGGGGAAACGCGTCGCTGCCAATAAATTAAATTCAAATAAATTATTATGACATGTCTAGAGATAGATTCAAGTTTTACATGATATATCATGATCGGAGTTACCATAGCAATACAGTGACGTCATGTCATTTTTTTATACATTCCATTTTTGGCGAAATCAGACGTTTGTTTTAAAAATTGTTYAACAGAACTTAAAGTTCATATGTTTGTCTTCAAGTTAACGAAGTTTCGAAGATTTGTATGGAAGCGTTTCGAAATAATTGCCGTCGGAACTTTTGGGCAACAGAAATGTAAACAATCCAAAGCAATTAGTTCATATGACCGAAACCTTTCCCTTTTGGACTTGGGAAAAGCTTTTTTTGGGGTCATAGTGTTGTGTTACTATTCCA